CCAGAGCCTCAGTGGAAAAGTCTCCAGAGAAGGAAACTCCACCACACTCCAAGGAAGTGTACACCACTCTCCAACAGCTGTTATGCTCAGGAAGTTCTTTCTTATCTTTTCAGTTGAATCTCTTTCCCTGCCATTTGAAACCATTGCTCTCTTGTGCCCTGGTCTTTAGAGCAGCAGAAAGTCAGTTTTCCCCCTTCCTCCTCTTCAATGGGATGTCCATTTAAATCTTGAAACATGGTTCTCATGTTCCCTCTCTACCTTCTCTTCTCCCAGCTAAATATCCCCCAGGAGGGAAGGAGGAATAAAAAGAGAAGTAAGGGAGGGAGGGAAGGATGGAAGGGAAGGGATGGGGAAGGGAAGTGAAGGAAAGAAGAAAGGAAGAGAGGGAGGGAGGGAGGAGAAAGAGAGAGAGGGAAGGAGGGAGGAATGAGGGAAGGAAGGATGAAAGTTTGGAAGGGAAGAAAGAAGGGAGGGAGGGAGGAAGAAAGAGGGAGGTAAGGAAGGATAGGATGGTGAGAGAGAGGAGGGCCTGAAAAAAGAGCCCAAGATGCCACATCCGGTCACCGGGCCTGGGTTTGCCTTCTCAGTGGTGGCCCCTTGACTGTGGAACACCCTACCTAGGGATATAAGATCGGACCCCTCCCTCCTGACTTTTTGAAGAAAGGTGAAAACCTGGCTTTTTGAGCAGGACTTCCAAATTCGGCATAGTTATACGAAATCATGGAACCACTTGACGATGCAATTGAACAATGACTTGACATGGAGACGGTCACCATAATATTTTTAAGGCGTGGTACAATTTTTTTAATATTATGATATTGTATACTAATGCTTTTAACAGTATTTTATGATTGTTTTATTTGTTATAATTGTTGAGACATCAAATGGTTTCCAATTGTGAACCGCTCCGAGTCGCCTCTGGGCTGAGAGGGGCAGTATAGAAATGTGGTAAATAAATAAATAAATACCTGATTTAGAGTCTAAATACCATCAAGACACCAGATTATGTCTAATATTGGAAGCTAAGCCAGGATAGAACTGGTTAGTTCTTGGGTGGAAGACCACCAGTAAATACCAGATGATGGTGGCTCTATTTCATAGGAAAGAACTGGTAAAACCACCTCTGATTATTCCTTGTCTTAGAAAACCCTATGAAATTCATGTCAATTCCTAAGTTGACAGGTGACTTGAAGGCACATACAGACACGCATGTTCACGTCAGCCCCTTTTTACATCAGTTTGCATATTTGCCTCCCCACCCAAAGTCTGGATGAAAATTCACATGAATTTTTATGATCTCGATTTTTAAAATATATCCAAGCTGGGAATGTTCAACCATGCAAATAAAGGAGGGAGGGAGGGTCAGTGGGAGGGGGTTGGTCTACAGGGTGTTGATGTCAAAACAGCTGTTGGTTTGCTTTTGAAAGAGCCTTTTCTTTAATGTTGTTCCTATGGAGACGGGATGTTTGGGTTTGTTTGCTTCCCTCCCTCCCCTTTTCAGGCAAAAGGACACAAATTCCCCAAACACAGTTTATTAATTTCCACTGGCTTTTCAGCTTTCATTTCTTTTCATGTGCTTCGCAAGGCTAAGGCTAATGAGATGATCACCTTCTTGCAAGATGCATATGCTTCAAATAAAATGTTGCAGCAATACTACAGTGTTCTGAGCTCCAGTCCAACATTTGAACCACTATACCAGCGGGGGAATTAATGTAGTTTGACGCCGCTTTAACTGCCATGGTTCAGCGAGTCTCTGCCACAGAATGCTTGTGCCTCACCAAACTAAAACTCCCATGATTACATAGCATTGAGCCAGAGCAATTACAGTGGTGTCGAACTGTATTAATTCTACATTGTAGTTGCAGCCTAGGCAAGCCACACACTCTAATGCTCAGGAAACCTCATGATAGATTTACCTTAGGGCCCTTCCACACAGCCATATAGTCCAGAATATCAAGGCAGAAAATCCAACAATATTTGCTTTGAACTGGGTTATCTGAGTTTACACTGCCATATATTCCAGTTTAAAGCAGTAAATGTGGGATTTTATTCCACTGTGTAGAAGGGGCTTTAGTGACACTCTAAGTTGGAAGCAACTTGAAGACATACAACAACTGTTCCCTAAAGCTACCAGATCCCATCTGATCTTGGAAGCTAAGCAGGGTCAGCTCAGGTTAGTACTTCGATGATAAATCACCAATAAATATCGGGTGCTGAAGGTTATATTTCAGAAGAAGGAATTGTCAAAAGCATCTCTGACTATTCCTTCTTTAAGAAAACCCTGTGAAATTCATGGGTCGCCATAAGGTGACAGGCCTCTTGAGAGCAGGTAAGAGTTCTCCCAAGGTCTTATAAAGAAGTTTTTTTCTCATCACTTGGTGGATTCACTGAGATGCCAGGGTATATATCAGGAATGTTCTACAAGCAAAGCACATGCGCTCTACCACTGACTTGGGGTTCATTCCTTCACTTGTTCCATGAGAAACTGGAATTGATTTTGCAGTTAAGCACAAATCTACCTTGATTGTGAATTAAAGTGATAGTGATCAGTGGGAAAAGCTGTTGAGGATGGCTGGCAGAAGAAAGGGAGGAAAGAATAAATGGAATTTACAGTATTGAGTTTCCCATTGTTTTTTTTGCACACTACTCTGTATTTTAGCTCTCATCAGTGCCTAATATAAAGGTAATATTTATTTATCCATTTAATTTATATCCCACCCTTTTCACAATATAGGAGGACCAAGACAGCTCACATGTGTGAGATAAAGAAAAATTAAATTAAAGCAAAGGTTAATACAAAAGTTATTGAACTGAACAGTCATATGAAAATATCAATTTAAAACCATTTTAATAGAAAATTATAAACAATGCAACAGATCTCAATTAAAATACCTTTTGCATCAGGCAATGCACAAATGCCTGTTGCTTTTTGTGGTTGATGTCTGGGAGAAACCACAAAGAACTGAAATAGAATTTGGAATAAGAGAAATTTAAGTGCTGATCGTAATGAATCTGGCAACTGCCTCAACCAAAATATATCACATTGGCACAAAATCAGGTGAAAGCATAAATTTTCCTGTGATGTTTGAGCTTGAATGGCAGGTTCACACATGTAAATATTGAGGTTGCAGTCACTGAATGAGGACTGCGTGTGCATTTGACCCAAGGTACATCTACACTGTGAAATTAGTGCAGTTTGACACTATTTTAACTGCCATAGCCCAGTGCTATGGAATCCTGAGATTTGTATTTTGAAAAGCCTTTTGCCATCTCTGCCAAAAACAGCAGGTATCTCATCAAACTGTAACACTGAGGCAAACTGCATTAACTTCTCAAACTGCAAAACTTCCCAAAGCAGAATTAAGGTGCCCCTATTAGAGGCTGATTATCTCAAAATGACAAAGACTGTAGAAGAAATATTGTTTCGCATCTGTTAGATTAATAAAAGTGATATGCAAATTATATTATTAATAAAAATGATATGCAAATTATATTATTTACATGCCAACGAATTATGCAAATCAGGAAGAAACTTGCCTTATTGTGTGTAATTTCCAGTATAGTTGTCATTGCTGCCTCTGGCTTAGTCCAAGCACCAGGGGCCATTTCATATTCCACACTGAGGAATAAAAAGAGATTTCTGGGAAAAGGCATCCCTCAGTGTCCAAAGAGTCCCATATTTGATACACAAATAGACATAAACTGCAGCAAAGCAATACATTTTACGAGCATTTGCTGTAATTATCCTTTCGTACTCTCTTTTTTATTCCTCATAAAAGAGCTATCAAGAGAGGTCTATCAGCATGTTCTCTGGAAGCACAAGGAGATTGCCTTTGGCATGCATAATGAGTCCTTGCTGGATAGATACTCTGGATAAATAATCATGGAGTAGGAAGAGATTACTCACTCTTGCTGCTCTCCTTAATGGTATTCCCATTGGCCACTTTAATAGGAAGACTACTTATCAATATACTGTTCTGTGAGTTGTGTCCTTCAGCTCAAAGCATCATCTGACCTGGAAGATAGTTTCACTTAGCAGTTTGTGATGCGTTGTGCCACTAGCACCCAACTCTAACAATTTACCTCTCCCAGATTTCTGGGACAAATGGGTGAGTCATTTTCAAATTGATGCCTGTTGCTCATGATGACTTTGCTAGGACAACTATAAATCAAGTCCATTGGACTGAAGTTGACTTAGTGTTGCATGACTCTCAAATTCCCAAATACTAAAATTGGACAAGAACCAGTGGCATGACCTGTGCTTTCAATTCATTTTGGAGCAAATGGACATTTGGGGAAATGGAGCAATTTGCACCCAGAAAATGCCACAAATGGAAAATAGATATCTGCCCAAGTCAAGAATTCCAATCCAAATTCTTCTCCAGTTCATTTTTTTTAAAAAAAATGAAAAGAATAGAAAATATAGTCATGGATCTTCAGCATCATATCTAGTTTTGCTCCGAAGTGCCAATAAATATTCTTGCTCATGATCCTTCATGGTGTATGGAGGCCGCCCTAACAGAAATAATTAATTTCCCAATTTTCTTTCTTAAAGCAGATATAAATCTCATAGCACACAAAGCACCTAGTTTGCCTGATCAGAGGTTTTGGATTATGTTCCTAAGTAGAAGAAAAGCTCTGTCACCCTTTTCTTAGTTGGGAATGTAGTCCTAAATTACTAGTCCCAACTGGAGCAGAACCATCAAATCAATTGGTGAATGAAACATCCCATTTATTCAGTGACTGTCCACTCTATGAAACCTTCTTCAACTGACTTCTACCATCTTTTTTACATACTTGTATTAACTGACCAAATATTGTGGCAGACAGGATGTTATTGCCATTTTACCTTTAATGTCTTTTTAAAACAATGGACTTTAGCTCTGTTGCTTTTGACTTTTGATGCTTTTAAAGTATGGTGTTGTCTTGGCTGTAATGAGGAGAGACAAATATGATTACCATGTGTTTTAATATTGTTCTTTTCTTGTGTTGTGACACAGGTATGGCCTCGCATGTGCAAGTTTTCTCCCCTCACACCCTTCAATCAAGTGCCTTCTGTAGCGTGAAGAAACTAAAAGTGGAACCGAGTTCTAACTGGGATATGACTGGGTACGGCACACATAGCAAAGTGTACAGTCAGAGTAAGAACGTGCAATCCGCTCAAGCAGCCGCCACCATCAACGCCTCTCTCCAGATCCCGAACCCAAACATCCCTTATGAGCAGACCATCATCTTCCCAGCCAGCACAGGGCACATTGTGGTGACATCCGCCAACAGCACCTCTGGTGTGGTTGCAGTATCTGGACAAGCGTTGGGTGGACCACACAACCTGATGCGTCGAAGCACTGTGAGCCTTTTGGACACATACCAAAAATGTGGACTTAAGCGCAAGAGCGAGGAAATCGAGAACACAAGCAGCGTTCAGATTATCGAAGAGCATCCGCCAATGATTCAGAACAATGCCAGTGGGGCCACGGTAGCCACCACAACCACGTCCACTGCTACATCCAAAAACAGTGGCTCCAACAGTGAAGGGGATTATCAACTGGTACAACATGAAGTGCTGTGTTCCATGACCAACACATATGAAGTATTAGAATTTCTTGGCCGGGGAACCTTTGGGCAAGTGGTCAAATGCTGGAAACGTGGCACCAATGAAATTGTGGCCATTAAGATCCTTAAGAACCATCCTTCTTATGCCCGGCAAGGTCAAATTGAAGTGAGCATACTGGCCCGGTTAAGCACTGAAAGCGCAGATGATTACAACTTTGTCCGCGCCTATGAATGTTTCCAGCATAAGAACCACACCTGCCTGGTCTTTGAGATGTTGGAACAGAACCTCTATGATTTCCTAAAGCAAAACAAATTCAGCCCACTGCCCCTTAAGTACATTAGGCCAATTCTGCAGCAAGTAGCCACGGCCTTAATGAAATTGAAAAGTCTGGGCTTAATCCATGCAGACCTCAAACCGGAAAACATCATGTTGGTAGATCCATCTCGGCAGCCATACCGGGTGAAGGTCATAGACTTTGGTTCTGCTAGCCATGTGTCGAAAGCTGTATGTTCAACATACCTCCAGTCCAGATACTATAGGTAAGAACACTGAGACAAATGGAACATTAAGATAAATGGCACCCCTAAAAGAAATTTGCTGTGATGTTCTACAATAATTCCACTAGATAAAGCTGGAGCAGGCTGATTGTGTTGGTTCTTTGTGTTGGCTGATTATGCCAAATTGGTGGTTACAGAACCTCTTTCTTGCCATCTGTCACCATGGCCTGTAGCATAGCAGGTAGAGTTGAACTAATTATTTATTTTCCAGGTCACTACTCATGCAGACAATAAAGATAAGGTCAGATCCCTCTGCCAGTTCCTTATTTGAGATCTTCGATGTCTTATTATAGGTCAAGAAGTGCCTTGCAGCATGATGTTCGTAGGATGCACTGGGTCCCAATCAGGGAGAAAGGTGGCATCCAAATGCATACATTTGTTAGTCTTTAAGGCGCCTCTTTAAGGAATGGTTGTTTTTGCGATGCCAGGCATAACATGGTTATGCTTTTGAAAGTAATCAGTGATGTGATTTTTCTTGCTGATGGGTTTGATCAAAATACACCATACGACTTCTCACTGTGGCTTATAAGTTAAATGCAACAGATGTTTTGCCTAGAAAGAGGCAGGTAATGGCTGCACTTAACAGGATGTATCTAGAAGACTGCTGGTACAATTTGTCAGTCGCTGCTCTTGGCTGTTTTTTAAAAATGCAGATTTCAGTCACTAGAGGGGGAACCTAATCAGGGCTGGGTGAGAGTTAATTTCCAGAATGTGGAAGTTTGACAGTGTAGCATTGCAGCAGCTGATTTTTATCTGTGTGTCCTTTTGTTCTGAAAGGAAGGAAAGAACAGCCCTCTTTTTTTCGCCCCTTGGATGAGGTTTATTAAATGAAACGTTCAGCTCAAGGACAAGCCCATCAGTTAGAGAACAAGTGGGCAAACCAGAATCTACTGGTAGATCTTAATGTTTCTGATTCTCAAGGTTAAATAGCAGCAACAGCTAAAAGCCTGCCCACCTCTGCTCCGAAATTAGACTGCACTAATGAAGAAAGCTTTGGCGGGGGAAGAGGGAAACCAGGTGTGACTCCTTTGTGTGTAAAAAGATCAAGAGCTCAGTTCTGGTGCTAGAAATAAATCCTTGGGCTTTCCTTATATTTAGAGTCACCCTCTTCCTTAATTCTGCACCCTTATCACCATTTTGCATCTTGATGATAAATATCAGATTCTAGTACATGCAGCAAAAATATGGAGTGCCATCAGGATTGAAGTCCACCGACCTCTGCTTTAGAGCAAATGTGTTTTGACTATTAATATGCAAACAATTGTTGACTTGCAATTAATGCACTGAATGAAGAGGTTGTATGACAAAGGGGACTCTATGATAACCTTTATTTGTCAACATTTTTTGTGATCCTACAAAGCCCAGCACAAGCCCCCATGTGACAGGCAATGGAAATGACAAAGGAGCAGTTTGTTTGTTTTTGGAAATGAAGGGGATTGTTTTTATCACAGTATCTGGGAAAATCTCTGTTGATATTGTCGAAGGCTTTCATGGTTGGAATCACTGGGTTGTTGTGAGTTTTCAGAAATATAAACCCCATTTTCCTAGTTTCCAACATTCCTTACAACCTCTGAGGATGTGTGCCATAGATGCATGCAAAATGTCAGGAAATAATGCTTCTTGAACATGGCCATACAACCCGGAAAACTCACAACAATCTCTGTTGATAATTATGTCTTGGGCTTTGAAATGCTGCTTAAATACTTCCAGTTTTCAGTTCATCAGATTTGGTTTGACCAACTTTCCAATAATTCATTGAAGGTTGAAGGGAAGGGGAAGAAGCACATTTCATTTGAAATGATGGATAGCAAGGAGTTACCACAAGTGGGGGATATTAAAGATATCATGAGAAATATGCATATTATTGCCTCTGCACTTTCTGGTGGAAGTTAGAGTAAGAATAGAAGAGGAAGAAAAGTCAATTCTGTGCCAGAAAGTAGATACACGTATGCTAGATGCAATATGTAACTTTTTAAAGATGTGAAAAGCAAAGGATTTGTTCTCACACTGTTTTTAACCAGGTCATTAGGAAGATAGATGAGATGGCATTAAGAAAACAAATTGGAAATGAATGCTTTAAGGGGGAATAGAAATCAATCCTATTAGACTAGATAATGGTATTTTTGTAAAAATCTGAGTGAGAAGCGTAGTGGTGTAAAATTTGAAGTAGGAGTGTGCATTGTGACAGTCCCCATAGACATGCCATCAAGAAGATGCAGGTTGTTGGGTTGATCTGTAAACGAAAGTAGATTTCATTTTCACCAGGAGGAGTGAAATTTTTAAACTTTACTGAATCTTTTTTGTCATTCAATATCAAATAAAATTAAATGATGAAATTAAATTTTATTTATAGCCCTCCCTATCTCCCCGAAGTGACTCAGGGCAGCACACAACAAAATATACAATGGGAATCATTCAATGCCAAAGGTAATATATAAACAAATCAGTAAACAAATCAAGAACAACTCAATAAATTATAAACCAGCATAAATGAACAAGACATACGTAATCCACATAATTACTAACACATTACATCCTTAAAATATCATTTAAATTCTCTAAAATTAGGCTAAAATTGTTGGGGGAGAGGTAGAAAACAGCAGGTTACCAGGGGGGCTGCTAGCAGCTAGGTAAGGTTCAAATAAATGTACTTAATTCTCCTCCTCTCCATAAGCTAAGTTGCATAGATGTGTTTTAATAGCTTTTTGAAGGAGAGGAGAGAGGCCATTTTTAACTCTTTAGGGAAGGAGTTCCAGAGGTGGGGAGCTATCACGGAGAAGGCCCTTTCTCTTGTTTCCACCAGCCATGCTTAAGACAGGGGTGGGGCCTCCTCTGCTGAACGCAGCAGTTGTGTTGGTTTGTATACGGAGATGCGGTCTTTCAAATACTTAAACCATTTTGCTCTAGTTTAAATTATAATTTAGATTGTTTATAATAACAATAATTTAGATTGCTGGGAAAACTCACTTCACCCCACCTCATATCCTACCCCATTACTGTGGCGTACTGTGACCTACATTGAGAGGTAAAATGTCCTATAATGGTAGCAATCCAAATCTGAGAATATAGATAGTTTTGAATAGTCTTTCAATGTTTCCACAAGGTTACAACTGTTTTACCTTGTCAGGTTGTTATGTCTCCATTCTGTTAACATTACTTTTCCTGTTTTACATTGTTTTAAGAGTGGATGATACTGTCTTGAAGTCCTGGGATGCAGAACAGGAGATAAATATTTAAACAATGTTTATTTAATATTAGGGGATCGTTGAAATATACCACACATGGTGATTGCTTGGTGGAATAAGCATGCGTGTTGAGATTAACTGAGAAGAAAACATTTCTAGCACAAATCTTTGTAAACTCAACCCACTTGTATGAGTTATATCTAATGCAGTAGACTCAGTCCACAAAGGTTTATGCTAAGAATCTCTTCTTCCCCATTAATTTCAGAGATGCTGCTGGATTCCTTTATGTTTTTTATGCTGTGTGACAGAAAGAAAGAAATGGGAGATTTTTACCTTCTCAAATTACTGTACCTAACTGTAGTCACTTTAGAATCTGAAGCCTCACTCTTAAAATGAGCTCTCATGGTTTTCCATTACGTCAATGAAGCTCTACTAGGTGACCAGACAGGAAAAGTGGGGTTTTTTGTTTGTTTGGTAGGTTGTGTGTGAGATATATATATTTTTTGTAAACTGGAAGATGGTTTCTTGATTTGATTTTTTGGGTTGCCAGGAAGCCACATGTGATTTTATATTGAGATGTGCATTTGAACAGTAAGCCCTATTTGAACAGTGAGCCACAAGCTCCTTGTTAAAAGCCTGGTATTTTTTTTAAAGCACTAAAATAAAACGGGTGTATTATTTTTTATGTTTACGCTAAGTTCACAAAGGTAAAATGCATGAATGAAGGGCATTAATTGATTATGCATAGAATCCAAGCGTGAATTACTATTTCAGGTTAGAGAAACAGAATTCACGCACAGAATGCATATAGCTGTTGTTGGGTCATTTTCAACATTGGACTAAATCGGATGGACAAAGTGGTCCTCCAAATGTTGTTGAAATGTACCTTCTAGCAGTCCTAGCCATCATAGCTGTGAGTGAGAAATCATTAGGTGACTTATACACTGTCTATCATTGGGTTAAATGAGCAAATAGTCTGATTTAGTATAAAGCCACTTCCTATGTTCCTCATATGGTTGCATGCTTCATTGTTTATTCAAACGATTTATTTTCAGATCAGCAGTCTGCTTCCGCTTTTTATTATTGGGTTTATGCATATGAAGTCAAGGTCATGCATAGTTCTTCCATGAAAATCATTTCCATAATCCCTTTCACCATAGTCTTATTGCAACCAGATGGACACTATGGTATTGCAGATGTGTCGCTGGTTGCAGAATGTAAGAGGGCTTCTTTTGACCTTTAAGGACACCAACCGCTCTTGGCTAAGCTTTCTTGCACGTCTCAGTGCAAATGGCTTGACCAGGGTATAGTGTCATGTTCAATCAAAGTGTCCTTTGAAATGGTGGAACAATCATTTCCATAATAAACAATATTCTGTTAATATGGTGTAACAAATATATTGCATTATAGCTTATAGAAAGAAAATACTTGAGTATCGGCATTGCTGTTGATGACTGGGTGTTATCTAGAACAGTGGTTCTCAACCTTTCTTTGACCAGGGACCATTCTCCACCATTAGTACCGAAAGGGTTACGAATCAGTTTTTGGTCAAATTTAGATTTGGTTTGATCATTTGGGATGCTGATTCAGAAAATTGCATTGGACAGACCACATCAGCTCTAATTTCTGATACAGAGCATACCCCACCCAGTAGTCACATCTGCTTGCCCACAGAAAAACATCATCTAGAGCTGATGTAGTAGTAGTAATCTGTGGTGGGTAGTCAGCCTCTCCCCTTCTAACATCCCTGTTGCCTCGGCACTATAAAAGGGTTTTGTGAGACCAGTCACTCTCATT